TGTCTGCGCCGACCCTTCGGTGGCCGTTGGAGGCCGTTACAGACCGTTGGGAGCCGGTGGCTGGATGTGGCCTGGTCTCAGTGCCCTGTTGCTCTCAGCTGTGTGTCTGCAGGCAGAGAAGAGTTTTCGCTGGTTTTTAAGGAACTGATGTTACTTTTGTGTGTGGTTGCTTCAACCAGCACAATAAACTTCTTCTTCTGGGTGACAGGAAAAGGAAAGTTTGTCCTTTACAGTGTTTTTGCACCTACTTAAATTTAAATGAAAATGGAATGTGACCAAACTTTGCAGCAGAGGGAGCTTTAAAATAACTTGGGCGTTTGAAATAATTTCATGTATTTTTTTTTATTTTTTTCAGCTCTGGTTCTGTGCATTCTGAAGCAGTGAAATTAAGGTGGTAGGACCAGAGTGGTTCTCAGGTGTTGGGGAAATCTTAGAGCTCTATTTAAGAGAGAGCTGATAAACAAGACCTTTTATTTGAATCCTATGACATGTTAAAAAGAAATGTGCTTTAAGGCAAGGCACCGTGGTACGGTGACATTTGGTTTAATTTGCTTAAAGCAATAAGAGTTTAGCTCAGCCTGTTTAAATAAAATGTGTATATAAATGTCAGCAAAGTATGAAACAGTTTTCTGTTACAAGCTTGAGCTGTATAAGATCATGACTGGAGAGCTAAAGCAAAATTGATTCAGCATCTAATGGATTAGAATTAATAATGACAAAAGTTTGCACTATTGCCAGACAAAATACTGGAAATGGACTTCTTCTCTCTGCTCCCCCCCCTATTATTTCTTTTTGAGAGTTTTTACAAGGTTGGATGGTACTGAGCAGGCACAGACTGACTGGAAGGAACAAGTGGCTTTACCATCATGGCCACTACCTCCTAGAAAGGCGGGATTCTCACTTGCTTTGGCCTTTGGTTGCTGTGGAGAGGGAATGAATGCCACCACCACCAATTCCAGTGGCTTCCACTAAGCCTTGTGTGTGTAAGGAGAGACTTAGGGTCCTCTTGGTTCCTCCTCCTTGATGTCTGTCCTTTCCTCCTTCATTTCTTTTCCTTACTCGCTTTGGTTCACCAGAAGTTGTCTGCTGTCTCTCAGCAAGCTACAACTCTTGCAGCACTGGCACCAGAATGTAGGTGAAAGTGGTGCTCTGAGCACTTCACGTTGGCCATGTTGCATGGTAGCAGGTGGGAGAATATTCTGTGCATGTACTTCAGCATCAGCAAAGCCTCAGTAAAAAGAAGGCTTTGTTTCCTTTATCTGGTGATCTTTCCAATTATGTGTGTCTCTTGCCTTTCTTTCTCTCCCTCTCCCTTATGGAAAACAGGATTTAAGTTCTGCGACTGCGTAACTAATTTTTTTTTTCCTCTCCCTCCATTCTAGCCAAGACACCATGAATGATTTTTAGATTTTATTTTAGATGTGTTTTCTTCCTTTTTTCCAGTTTTTGAAACTTAACATTGTAATTAAAGAATGAATTTTAACTTTAATGAAGCACAGTTGTTTTCATTTATAAACGTTAACACAATGCATTAAATACCTGCATAGTTTTGAGCAAGACTTAAGCCTACTTGAAGCAGTGGCAATTGCTGGAAAGGTAACAGGGCCAAGCTGGCAGCTCAGGGTGTTTTTTAGTCACCGTTTATTTCAGTGAAATTGGAGTAACAGCACAGTCTATATAAAAATCTTTCTGCAACCTGTAAGATTCTCAGTCTACAAAAATATACCTACCTAACTTAAAATACTTTGAAATATCTGTTGAATTCAGTCCTTTACTAAATTGGGGTTTCAATGTTAATTGCTAGTATCTCATTTAAAATTTACGTGATTTGTTGGACCAGGGAACTTGCAGTGAGGTGTTAGTAAAGTCATTCTTCCTGAAGTTTAGAATCATGTTCTAGAAAGGACTCCTCATTATGGGACTAGGGATGACAACTGCAGTTGTTAAAATGAGTGGTTTCTTTGGTGTGGGATATCTGAAGGCTTTATATCAAAGTGTCTGGTAGAGGTGCTTGTGTTCTTGGCCAGTCATATCAATCATTTCTTGAAATTAATGTTGTCCTAAGTCAGAGTGTGGTCCAGTTTGGGTTCTGGGTTAAAGACAGTAGAGTGCTTTCATGGATTAGAGGTTTAAGGAATCAAAGGGGCATAAATGACCCATAAATACTAGAGGTCCGAGGAGCACAAAGCTCCCAGTGAAAGAGAGTGGACATCGTTCACTGCTTCTGTTAAAGGAAATTGCAGAAACTGTGATTTCAGCACTTTGGGAGTAGTTCCTGCAAATGCATTAAGGACATCCTACAAACATTGTGTGACACTGGACTTTTATTTTCCTCGTTAAAGGTGAGCCATGTCTTTCCATTCCGGGCGAGGATGTCCCCGTGGTCAGGGGGGACCAGGAGCAAGAACTTCAACACAGACCTACCGCCCTCAGAACCTACGGCAGCTTCACCCACAGCAGCCTTCTGTACAATACCAGTATGACCAGCAAACTGCCCCTCCAACAACCTATTCAAACCCTCCCACCACGGGTTACATGCCTCCCAGGACAGACTTTGTGCCCTATCCTCCGCCAGTGCCCCCTTCCACGCAAAATCCCATCAGCCAGTGCCCCATGAGGCCACCGTTTCCAAACCACCAGATGAGGCAGAGCTTCCCGGTGCCTCCGTGCTTCCCTCCCGCTCCTCCCCCTGTGCCAAATCCTAGCAACGCTCCTGTGCCAGGAACTCCTGCTGGGCAAAGCACCTTTCCTTACATGATGCCTCCTCCCACAGTACCGCACCCTCCCCCCCCACCAGTCATACCACAGCAAGTCAACTACCAGCCTGTGTACCCCGCAGGGTATTCACAGCAATCGTTCCCACCACCTAACTTCAATAGCTATCAGCACAACTCTGGCTCCTTTCAGAGCGGCACTACCAACAGCAGTGGTGGCAGCAGCCATTTTCGGCACACGGGTCAGTACCAGGGAGAGAAGTCACAAAGTGACCGACGGTCTCCAGAGAGGAGCAAGCACTATGACGAGCACAGACATCGTGAACATGGTCACATCCACAGTGACAGGCATCGGTCCGCTACCCATGGGGATCGTCGGGATCGAGGCCGGAGTCCAGATAGGAGGAGGCAGGAAAGCAGTCGGCACCGGACAGATTATGACAGAGGAAGGCTATCGCCTCATCACAGAAGTTACGAGCGTAACAGGTAACTTCAGGTATCTTCTGCCTGTAGAGGGAGAGCTGTCATCATTGTCCCGTAGTATTTGTTTGCGGAGATGTTCTTCCCTCCCCCTTGTTTTTCCCTCTAGCTCAGGAGGTAGCCAATCTTTCAGGTATGCTGCTTCTGCCTCACCTTTGCAAGCTTGGCAGACTCGTTGCCCTTGTCCATGGAGATAGCTGGAAGCAAAGAAGCTCTTGTTTGAAAACTGAGTGGATTGCTGAGTAGTGCTCTGCCCTCACGGGTATTTACCGTAGAAACTTATGCACATGTGGTGTGAAAGTAGAGTTGGCACAACTTTGTGCAAAAGACTATGTTCAGAGTTGAGCCTTACAAACCATTAAGTCTCAGCACTTCAAAATTCAAGATGTAGGTACCAGAGTTAGGGTTCCAGGTACTTGAATTTGGTCTTTCTTTGAGTAAGCTCTGTATTTGTAGAGAAGCAGCACTTGGAGGGGTTTGTAGTCTGATAGGTGCACGTATCTAATCCCTGTAGTGAGGTTTTAGTGAAAAGCATGTTGCTCAGCGTTCTTCATCCTGCTCTGTCCTCATCCTCTTGGGACACCAGCACAGATGTGTGCAGGCTTCACGGGACCTCCCAGTGGGTGCTTAGACCTGCCTGTGTGATTCTGTTCAGGATGAAGACTTCAGCAAGCCAGCCTGTGATCTCAAGAGAGGACTGAGGTGAAAATTAGCATACACCAGTTAATAGAAATAGCCAAGTTGTAGGCTGTGTTGACATGTTACGATTCAGATGGATGAGTGTGGACTGCTTATTTTGGGATGTATCATGAAGTTTCTGTCCCTTTGCTTCATAGACACAAACAGCTTGCAAATTGTGAGCTGACCTGATGCAGTTTGCTGCATGGTGTTTTAGAGCAAGCCATCATCAGTTAAAACTTTCAGATGTCTTAGATTTGCTCTCTTGGTGGCTCTTTTTGTGTCTAATGATCTAGGTCAGAATATTTGAAGAGAGATACCAGAAAGTTAAGTATCTAAATATTTAACAGGGCCCCTGGATCACATGCTCTAATTTTAGAAGCTCTAAGCTTTTTCATGTAACATGTGAACCATGAATTTACACATAGTTCCTGTGGAAATGAAGCTACTTTCATTTAGATATGCAGAGATTTAATTGAAGAACCTTAGACAGCTGTATTAAAAAACAAACCAACCAACCCAAACTTCACATTCAGCAAGTTTACTTTCATTTCCTAAAACTGAATGCAACTGGCATTAAGGCACTGGCCTTTTCTGTATGATGAGCTTGTAGATTTTTCTGCCCTTTGTAGGTGACTCAAATATTTGCCACTTGTTTAGATTTTAAATTTCAGTTTTAAGTTTTGAAAATGCATGTTTTCAGCAGCATCTTTCTCAAACACTTGTGGATTACTGCTTGAGGCCAACTGCTTCCTGGTCTACTTGGCAATGTATCTGCTTATTTTAATGATAACTGTTTGCCGCCCTTGGTGTGTTTTTTTGCACAGCATCCATCTCTCAAGCAAATCAGATGACATAGAATATGCTCTCTCTGAAGACTGAAATCCATGCTGAACAAGGCACAGGCAGAGAAGGATGAACGGGTGTGGGGAGGAACAATAGATAATTTGTATGAACTTTGTGCTTTGTAAATTTGCATTCTATTTGATGTTACGCATATGGAAACATACATATATATGTTCATAAATAATCTTGACTCATTCTGTTACCCTACCAAACCACCTGAAGCACATATTTACAATTGCTTATGTATCAGCAGACTCATTTACTAGGAGATTGGACAAATCCACAAATGATTGTGGACTAACGAGTTGTCAGCTATTAGCAGAGTATGGAAACTGCCTGTATGATCTTTGCTGCTTCATAAACATAGTAATTTCATAGAATCATTTAGGTTGGAAAGGACCCTTAACACAAGGACAGCCATAAACATAACACTGCCAAGTTCACCACTAAACCATGTCCCTAGGCACCATGTCTGCCTGTCTTTACCTCCAGGGATGGTAGCTCAACCACTGTTCCAGTGCTTGATAACCCTTTGGATGAAGAAATTTTTCCTAATATCCAACCTAAACCTCCCCTGGCACAACTTGAGGCCGTTTCTTCTCAGTCTGTCACTTGTTACTTGGGAGAAGAGACTGACACCCACCTTGCTACAGCCTCCTTTCAGGTCTTCTACGAAGAGAGCAATAAGGTCTCCCCTCAGCCTCCTCTTCTCCAGACTAAACAACCTCAGCTCCCTCAGCTGCTCCTCATAGGACTTGTTCTCTAGACCCTTCACCAGCTTCGTTGCCCTTCTTTGGACATGCTCCAGCACCTCAACATCCTTCTGGTAATGAGGGGACTGAATACAGTATTTGAGGTGTGGCCTTGCTGGTGCCGAGTACAGGGGGGCGATCACTTCCCTAGTTCCTACTGGCCACACTATTTCTGACACAGGCCAAGATGCTTTTGTCCTTCTTGGCCACCTGGGCACACTGCTGGCTCATATTCAGCTGGCGGTTGACCAACAGTCCTATGTCCTTTTCCCCAAGCCTTCAGTTAATTTAAAGCTCTTGTGCCCCAGAAATATGTTTGGGTTGTAGTTCTTTATGTGTATGTGCAAGCTGAGTCTTGTAGATGAAATTCATAGTTTCAGCGTGATGCAGATTTTCTGTGTTTATCAGTTTTTTTGTGTGTGCTTGAGGTGGCTGTCGGGAAGAGAGGGCTTGCCTGAAACACTTGAATGCCTTCTGTGCTTACAAAGCTCTTGTGCATGGAATAGGTTTTCTTCCTCTTTATTGAGGCATTAAGAATGGTTAAAGGTATCTTACCCTTTGCCATTCTTAATAGAAGAGGAAGAATGGCAACAAGTCCTGTGGTGAATTTACAGAAGTTACCTCTGTATGGTATGAATTAACCGTCATATTGAGATAGATGGCTTTATGACAAAGGCAGAAGAGATAGGTGATTGTCTTAAAAATTTCTTGAAGGTCAGCATTAAGAATGTCTAGGGTTCTAGCAGTCAGCACATGTATATCGTTTTGCATAACATGATCTCAGTCTGCTTCTGTGCTCCTTTCAGGTGTGTAATGTATCAAATGCCAGATTTCTCATTTAACTTATGTTTTCAACTCTCCAAGGGAACGGGAGAGGGAGAGGCATAGGCACCGTGACACCAGAAGATCACCATCACCAGACAGATCCTACAAAAAAGATTACAAGAGAGCAGGAAGGTAAGGAAGGTTACATTCACTCTCTTGTATATTTGAGGCTCTGCGTATCCATGCATGTGAGTTTTTGTGTATGTGCATATGTGCCTGGGTTGAAACTCAGAAAAGATGAGTGTCTTAAATTTATAACCATCTGTGTACACATGCAGATGTCAGTTATCTCAAGACCTTGTAGAGTTAGAAACAGGATTAATCTCTGGAGAGAGGGCTTCGCTGCTGTGTCCCAAAGACTTCTTGTTACACCTGCTTCCAGTCTGTAAAGTACCAAGATTATTTAAAGTCATTCTATGTTTAGATCATCTTTTAAGAGCTTTTTTTTGTATTGATATATAAAGAAAAAAATTCCTTCTGAATCCTGGATAGTTGAAGTCAGTGCAACATTATTGGCTTTGTAGGCAGAGGAGACAAAAAAAAAAAAGTTGCTTTCCTACATTCAGCTTCTGAAAGCATTACTCTTCTAATACATAAGGAATATCACAGGTTGTGTTGTTCAAAGGAGTGCCAGAGTTAGAGTAACATAAACAGTGTGGCTTATAGAATCATTAAGGTTGGAAAGGACCTCCGAGATCATCGAGTCCAAACGTTAAACTAACTGCCAGGTCCACCTCTAAACCATGTCCCTAAACACCACATCCACACATTTTTTGAATACTTCCAGGGACCGTGATTGCATCACTTCCCTAGGCAGTCTGTTCCAATGCCAAACCACTCTCTCTGAAAAGAAATTTTTCATAATATCTAATCTTTCCTAATATCTAATCTAAATCTCCCCTGGCACAACTTGAGGCCATTTCCTCTCGTCCTGTTGAGGTTGCTAGCGGAGAAGAGATGAACCCCCACCTCGCTATAACCTCCTTTCAGGTAGTTGTAGAGAGCAATAAGGTCTCCCCTCAGCCTCCCCTCATTCTCCTCCAGGCTAAACACCCCCACCAGCTCCCTCAGCCGCTCCTCATAAGACTTGCGCTCTAGACCCTACCCT